TGGGTCTCTAGATTAATAGTCTAGCGGTAATACCACTAGGCTGTTGCCTTCCCTTCCCTTGAGGTGGCAGGGTGCCTGCTGAAGGATTTAAACAGCAGAGTGGGCAAAGAAGTGGCAGATGGGATACAATTGGGGAAGTATGAGGTTATGCACTTTGATAGGAAGAGTGGAGGCATAGACTGTTTGTTTGTTTATTTTCTAAATGGGGAGAAAATTCAGAAATCTGAAGTGCAAAGGGATTTGGGAGTCCTAGTCCAGGATTCTCAAGGTTAACTTTTGCAGATTGAGTTGGTAGTTAGGAAGGCAAACACAATGTTGGCACTTATTTTGAAAGGACTAGAATATAAAAGCAGGGATGTACTTTTGGTCAGCAGTTTTGGGCCCTATTTCTTAGGAAGGATGTACTGGCCCTGGAGCAGGTCCAGAAGAGGTTCGTGAGAATGATCCCAGGAATGAACAGCTTAACACATGAGGAACACTTGAGGACTCTGGGTCTATGCTTGGAGTTTAGAAGGATGGCAGGGGCATCTAATTAAAATTTTCAGAATACTGAAAGGCCTGGACAAATGGATGTTGGGAAGATGTCTCTATTGGTAGGAGAGACTAGGACCCGATGGCACAGCCTTAGAGTTAAGGGTAGACCCTTTAGAATAGGGATGAGGAGAAACTTCTTCAGCCAGAGAGTGGTGAATCTATGGAACTCATTGCCACAGAACGCTGTGGAGGCCAGGTCACGAGTTTATTTAAGATAGAAATAGATAGGTTCTTGATTGTTATGGGGATCAAAAGTTACAGGGAGAAGGTGGGAGAATGGGGTTGAGAAACTTGTCAGCCATGATTTGAATGGCAGAGCAGGCTCGATGGGCCAATGGCCTAATTTCTGCTCCTATGTCTTATTGTCTTATTCAGTTTGCTCTCACTTTTTTTGTTTATGGGAAATGTATTATCTAATTCTAATTCTAATTCAGATCCAAGTGCAGATCTCGCTGATGTAGTATTGGATTCTACAATGGAGCCACGTAGTAAAATCTCATTGCAATACTACATGTTTAAACCACATCCTGTGAAATATTTTTTGTGCCTTATGTGCTTAATTTGAAGAAAATGTCATTGACCTTCATTCATTTACAGGTTGATGAAGCTTTAACAATTAAGAACACAGACATTGCTAAGGAACTATGCCTCCCTCCAGTCAAACTGCACTGCTCAAGTAAGTTTGGGTTTATGTTTATGGTGATGTAATGCAGATGCAATTCATCAGTTTGATAATGTTTGATATAAATCTGAAAGTTTTTTTGTTGTTTTGACATCTCTCCTCCTAATTTTTTCTCCTTTGGCTTAACATCCATTATTTCTTAATTACACTAAAGCTGTTTGAAATCTCTTTTACATTAAGATAGCTGTATAGATGGGTTGTGGAAGTAGTGGGTGATTGTGGTTTATTGCTTTTTTTTTTCTGGACTTGCAGATGACATGGTAGTATGAGGGGAGTTTGGAAGATGGTTTTGGTCATAACCATATTGTGCTGCAGAAAGTCTTGTGCATCCACAAGTTGCCTTGTATCTAGGCAAACAGCACAACAGTCAAAGATAAGTGTGGAGCTGGAGGAACACAGCAGGCCAGGCAGCATCAGAGGAGCCGGAAAGTAGACATTTTGGGTCGGGAACTGAAATGTCAATTTTCCTGCTTCTCTGATGCTGCCTGGCCTGCTGTGTTCCTCCAGCTCCACGCTGTTATCTCTGACTCCAGCATCAGCAGTTCTTACTATCTCTGCCAGCAGTCATGGGGATGTGATAATTTGATTCCAAGCCAGATGAGTTATGAAGTTGATCTTTTCTTAACTTTATTTACAGAATGCAGCATGAGATATGTCAGTTGTATACCAGTATTTATCTTTTTCTGTTCACTTGAAACAAACAGTAACATTGAGCTAAATCAATGAGTAACAGCCCCCCTAAAGGAGCAAAATTTCCTTTAAGTATTCAAAGTACTCAACTAAACATGACATTTGCATGTGCATATTAACAATATAATTGTATGGTTATTAACAGTGTGGAGGTGAAATAGAATATCCTTGGGATATATCTGAAAGTTGATATGCTAATGGAAGATTTTGTCAAAATGGAGTCCTACCAATGAAAAACACTTAAACATTCCAGCATACTGGAAGCAATAATGCAAGCACTGAGGGAGTTATTAAACTGTCTAGAACTGTTTGCAAATGATTGCTTAATTTGTGACCTTTCTCTCTCTATTTGAGAGCAATTAACCCACTTAAAGCTTGCAAAAGGTTGCTCCAAAGCATTTGTGAAGATGATTTGTCTGTTATTTCTAAACAATGTTTTTTAAATTGATAAAGTTTAGGTATCCTGCTTGATATGATTCCTTTTACAGCCTTACTATGCTGACTCAGTGATTTAAGTGGAGCACGTGTGCTTCTGATTCAGAAGCTTGTAGCTTTAATGACCAGTCCAGGACTCCGCATGTTCTTGCCTGTCCTTTCAGTGCAGTTACTTTCCTTTCTCGTCTGTTTCAAGGTTGCAAAATTCAGTGTTACAGGGAGATCTCTGTATCCTGGTGTAGGAATCTCAAACTTAGTCTGCAGGTACAAGAAGTGATTAGGCAGGCAAATCGAATGTTGGTCTTAATGCATGGGGAATGGAATATAAAAATGGGGAAGTTTTTACTGCAGCTGTACAAACCTTGGTGATGCCACATCTGGAGTTCTGTGTATCATACCAGTTTTCTTAATTAAAATTACTGTTAGACACTTCAGAAGGTTCCGTTCAATCATTCCTAGGTCAAAGGTCATTTTATGTAGGAAGATTGGGCCTGTACACATTAAAGTTAGAAGAATAAGTAGCATTCTTCAAATAGTCTCCTCAGTTTAGATACTTGGAGGTTACTCCCTGCTGTGGGGAAGGCTAGAATCAACATAAGAACAAGAGTCTCCGTTTTACAATGGTGAAGAGAAATTTGAGTTTTGTTCTGTGGAATTCATTCCCTGGACAGCTGTGGAGACTGACATTTAAATCTATTCAAGGTTGAGTTAGATTTTTGATCCACAAGGGAGCTATTGTGGCCATATTGGGAGATGGATGGGAAACACTGGATTTGATGAGACTGAACCACTCTGCTTTAGGCTGAGATCTGACCTTTCTGCAGAATATAATCTTATGACCTGTATTGTTCAGACTGCTTACCTTTACACAAACTGTGTTGGAATCGAGGGCTCAAAGCTGGTGCATTTGAGGGGAAATGTCTGACTCTTTCTTGGTTTGGGGTTCAGTAAATGTGCAGCTTAAATTCACAATGCAATTGCTCTTGTTTCAGTGCTTGCAGAAGATGCAATCAAAGCTGCTCTGGCTGATTACAAAGTGAAACAGCAAAAGAAAACGTGAGACTACAAACTGTTAATGCAACAATGCTTCAACAACTGTGTGTAACCAATGCAATGACCCCTTTTGTGTATTCAGATTTCAAAGGGCAACTTATCTGTTCAAAAATCTTACATCGTTTTAAAAAAAAGCAGTAGCAAGACATTAGTTTATAAACAAGCTCTTAATGTGCGATTGTTTGTGGCTGTTATGAGTTGTAGAAAATTATTCTGGAAAAATGTTTAGTTTCTTGAAATATTATAACATTGTTGAGAAAATGTAAATATCTTGATTTAGCTGTGTAATGGGCTTGATTTAATATTTGTACCTAGAAAAATATTATAAGCAAACAAGTAATTAGTTTCTTATCTTGGTCTGCTCTGTTTCAATTTGATCAAGAATTAACAGACTTTGGTCTACTTGTTAATCAGTTTGACAATTCAATGGATATGGGTTTGAATCCTGCAGCTGTTCAGTTCTACTGGCTAAGGTTACTTCAAGTGCTACTTCTTTTGCATCTAAAATAAGAACTGAAACAGATGCAAAACTAAAATTTTGTCTCTACCTGCACAGTGCACCTTCTAGAATGACACTGGTGTCACATATTTAACTATCCAACATTATCACAATGATGAAGAATCCTGTCATTTCATTTATACATTGCCAAAGAACTGATCAAAAGAAATTACTTGCTCTGTAATTAAATTTCCTTTATAATTTCCCTGTCCTGTAGTATAAGTTGCAGTAATTGTGAATGCTCTAAGTTAATGGAAGACAATGAAACATCTCAAGTAAGAATACCCTTTCTACTAATTGTTTAGTTTCAAATTACAGTGGCACCATCTAAGGAAATACTAACTTTTACATCTGTCATAAGTGTTCCATTATTATTTACTATCTGTAATTTTTAAAGTAATTTCCCATGCTTTAAAGTGTAATTTGTACCAGTTCAGATTAATCTATTTAAAAGTCTTGGTATACAACTGGTATTTGAAAGCAAGCATGTAACTGTTTTAACTTTGAAACCAATTATGTTTTAAATCAAGCTGCTTCATTAGCTTTAAAATTCCCTTTGCAGGTACTGAAATAGTTTTGTTAGTAGGACAGACATTCAAGACACAAGTCTCTGGTTTGCCATGGCTCTTAATTTATTTCCAAGCTATAATGATTAGTCTAGTTCTTTGCAGCCTGGATGCCAAGTGGTCACCCGTTCATTTTTAGAATAGAAGTAGATGACTTTGGACCAACTTAGAAGGGAAAAAGAGGTAAAGGTAGCTGTTATGTAGGAAGGAAAATGTTGAGTATGTGATTTTCTTGACTAGTTTACAGATGAATGAGAAAGCTTGAAAGGCAAAATGCTAATGCAAATGTCACTCCTTCCATCTGGCAAGTTTTCATGGCCTGCCAGTACTGATCAGCACCAGGATGTCACCTTTTGTAATAAAAGAAAAATCAGATGAGCCTGCCATCAGTGTATGGTATATATTTATTTGCTTGTGGTATCTGAGCTTAGTTAAAATGGGATTTGAGTATAACTGTTGCTCAATATTCTCTTTGAAATAAAGCAGTTTAACAGGCCTCATCTCACTAAAGGTTTTCAGTTTGCCAGCTGAAATACAAAAAGGGTATGTGGATGACTACCAAATTTGGATCAGAAATGTTTGTATGAATAGATATTAGCTAATATGGGCACAGACCTGAATGTAACACCAAACCTGATACTGGAAGGCAGAGTATCATTCAAGAAAATCTATGGAGATGTAATGATGAAAATGAGTAAATCTAGCCTTGTCTTGCAGTTGCTTTTCAATACAAGGCATACTGATTGTATTGTTTTTGAATGTAAATATCCTGTTTAAAAATTGCAAAACAATTGATAAGACCTATACCTGAGTTCTTCAAGTGAAAGTAATGTTTGACCAATTGATACATCATTGTGCAACTTGTAACTTTGTAAAACAAATAGCATGGATAAATAAAGAATTTACTTACCTGATAGATCTGTCCTGCAATTTATACTCTGACAAACCTTAACTGCACTCTGTGTAATGTTTGAATTTTGGAGAATAAAATTCTCCATTTCTGATCACTAGACTTTTAATTCCAGATTTTTATTGACATCACATTTCATCAGGCATGGCAGGATTTTAATCCAGGTCCCCATGCCATTTGTTCGATTTCTTGGATTACTAGTCCAGTGTCAATATGGCTAAACCACCATCTTTGTTTAAAAACAAAGATTCCAGATTGCAAGATCAAGCCTCTCTATTGCCTAATCTTCACCCAAAAACTGGTTTGATGCTATCAGTAGCTTTTAAAAAGTGATGCATTGTTGCATCTCAAACATGGTGCCCAGCCCAGCATACAGTCTGTCTCTTTAAGGTCAGCGTTCATGTTCAAGAAAAGCTTAAACTGAAATTGGACTAATGATTCCAAAAAGCATCCTCAGGAAAATGATGGATCATACAGATTGCAGCTTCAGCAAGAATTCTTTTAAAGTAGAATGGCATTAAAAATGTATGTTTAAGTACAGGTGACCTAAATACTGCACTAAAGAGATGCCCACAAGATTCCTGGAAGTGCTTAATCTCCAATTTGCAGGTGGCAATGGTGAGGAAATATAGTCTTGTTTTCAACAGAAACAACTGTCAAATCAACACTTCACCAGCCAAAACAATTGTACAGTTCAATCTACTCTAGATCTGATCCTACCAATATAGAAGATGCTTGCACTGCAAGACAAATGTGTCTTGGTTTTTAATACTTTACCCCCATATGCTCCAAACATTGCAACCAAAGCATTTCCTCTTCATGATCTTCTCCACAAAAAATGCCATCCATACAATAAAAGAGTCACCAACATTTTTTTCTCAATTTCTCAAACTGTTCTCGTGTGCATTTCAGTGACCACAGTTTGGATACCTTCGTGGTCAGCTGCTGAATAAAGTCTCACAAGGCTACCGATGTTCTCTTAATAAAGGAGCACAAATTTATTAGAGGAAAAAGACCTCTATGCAAAAGATGTTATAATATATACATCATGTATATGTATTAATATACAACCTGGAGACTTCTCCAAAGCGCTCTGTCCTGCTGCTGTAAATCTGAACTTCTGAACATAGTGGCAGCTGTCATCTGTTTCTCTGTAGGTCATTAAATTTAACTTCAAAAATAAATATTTCATCAAGAACCTCCCATGTTGCTTGTATTAATTTAAATAATATGCTTTGTTGGAAATGATGTTTGAACTCCCTGTTTAAAACAAAGTAACTTCTGACCTTTTACCATACGTAATACCAGAGAGCAGGAGTTTACAGCCTCAATGTGCGTTAAGGTAGATAAATCCCTTGGGCCTGGTAAAGTCCATCCTCAGATGTTGTGGGAGGCTGGGGAAGGAATTGCAAAGGGTTGTGGAACAGAGGGACTTCGGATTACAAGTACACAGTTTGTTGAAAGCAGCATCGTAGGTAGACAGAGTGGTGAAGAAGGCATTTAGCATGCTGGCCTTCCATCAAGGCATTGAATATAGGAGTTGGGACATTATGTTACAGTTCTGTAAGTCATTGGTGAGGCCGCACTTGGAGTACTATGTACAGTTTTGGTCATCCTGTTATAGGAAGGACATAGCTAACTGGAAAGTGTGCAAAGAAGATTTACGAGGATGTTGCCAGGACTAGTAGGCCTGTGTTAATGGGAGAGGTTGGCCAGGATAGGACTTTATTCCTTGGAAGCTAGGAGAATGAGGAGTGACCTTATTGAGGTGTGTAAAATTATGAGGTGGAGGTGCCAGTGTTGGCCTGGGGTTGACAAGGTCAGAAATCACACAACACCAGGTTACAGTCCAACAGGTTTATTTGCAAACACAAGCTTTTAGAGCCTCCTGCTGCCAAACGCTTGTGTTTTCAAATAAACCTGTTGGATTATAACCTGGTGTTGTGTGATTTCTGACCTAAAATCATGAGAGACATAGATAGGATGAATGCATATTGTCTTTTTCCCAGGGATGGGGAATTGAAAACTGCAGGGTATAGGTTGAAGGTGAGAGGGGAAAGATTTAAGAAGGCCCTGAGGGGCAACTTCTTCACGCAGAGAGTGTTGCATATATGGAATGGGCTGCCAGAGAAAGTGATTGAGGCAGGTACAATAGCAATATTTAAATAACATTTGGATAGGTACATTGATGAGAAAGGTTTACAGGGATATGGACCAAATCAGGCAATTGGAACTAGCTGAATGGGCACCATGATCAGCATAGACTAGGTTAGGCTGGAGGGCCTGTTTCCATGCTGTATGACTCTATGACCTCTTTAAAAAAATCAAGTCTCCTTCATAAAACACAAAATAAAAACCTGTCCACCTCTACGTTAGAATTCCCGATTGATAAAATAAATTATAAACCTTATTCACATTTTGTGAATTGTCCTCATGAGTGCAAGTTTCTTCAGCAATACTCAACTACTGTACAGCCAAATGACAAAATCCATGATAATTAAACTTTGATAAGTAAACCCCTTCATCCCAGGGATCAACCTAGTGAATCTCTTTTAGACTGCCTCCAATGCCAATATGTTCTTTCTTAAATACAAGGACTAGAACTGTACACGAGAACTGTACTCCAGGTGTAGCCTCACCAACCCTTATACAGTTGTAACAACCTTCCTATTTTTAAACTTCAATGAATTTACTCCTTCGGTATTCATATATCTGAATTGATCTTTCTCAGCACTTTCTTTGCAGATGTAACACTATATCCTGCATTCTGTTCTATTACCCTAATGTACTTATGTAAGGTATGATTGTCCAGTTAGCACTAAATCAATACTTTTCATGATATCGCAGTACATGTGACAGTAACAAACCGAATCATTATCACTGGGTCAAAATTCTGGAACTTCCTCCCTAACAGTACTGTGGATCTACCTACAGCACAATGACTACAGCGGTTCAACAGGCAGCACCACTACCTTCTCAAGGGCAATGAGGGGCAGGCAATAAATGCTGGCCCAGCCAGTGACACCCACATTCCATGAATGAATCCAAAGAACTCCAACCCCCAGTAAATAAATATCAAAATTCTCTTTGCCTTCTTAATTACTTGTTGCAGCTGCATGCTAAGTTTTTATGTCCATGCACCTAGATTCCTCTATGTTGCACCTCTTTGGAGTTTCTCATTTAAATAATAGTCTGCCTTTTGATTCCTCCTACTCAAGTGAAAGACCTCAATCTACCCTGCATTAAATTTCATCTGTCAAGTTTTTGCCTACTCACCAAACCTATCCATATCCCTTCTCAGATTACTTATATCCTCATCACATCATGCCCTCCCACTTATTTTTGAATCATCAGCAAATTTGGAACCATTAGACTCTGCATCCTCCTGCTGGCACTAATTCCTGTGAATGTAAGACTAATGCAGAAAGTATAGTGGACCTTACAACGCAGCCAGTTTCCACTGTAATGTTGCACCACTTAAAACTGCTACAATCCTTCATTTATTGTTTTCAATAAACTAGACATACGCAAATAATGTAATATCATGACAACATATTCACCATCTTGCGTGTTCAAAAGCAAATATGGTTACTCAAAGCTGATTTGACCCTGTTCCAGGAGGATTACATGCTGGAATTCTGACAGATTCGGTGCCTTGGAAACATTTGCATCATTATCTGTCAGATATTGCTTTGAAAGTAATTTAATATGGTTAAACATGTTACGCAAGTTAAAGCCATGACTTGAAATAACATTGTGAGCATCAGCAACATTTCTACATTAATTGATACATTTAATAGATGAACGTGGTAGGTAACAGATATAAACAGCCTGAACAATGGAAAATGGAATCTAGTTTTACTGACAACTATGTGTCTCTCCAAACTTGGTCATTATACATTTCCCAGTTTATGCAGTCACCGTTTGTAACCATACCTAATTGTCAGAGGGCAGCTGACAGAGCTGTTGCGCAGCCTTTATCCTCGTTAGTATAGTGGTTAGTATCCCCGCCTGTCACGCGGGAGACCGGGGTTCAATTCCCCGACGGGGAGGAGTTTTTTTAAGTTATTTGCTGTACGTTCATTTCTCTTTTCTGCCTTCTCTTTTCTTATTTTCTAACATTGCAGTCTAGGTTTTCTCCTTTTCTTCGGAACGCCCGTATATAAATTAACTCAGTATTCCCCAGTTTGTTGTTGAGACAAATGTTGTTCTTACTGGCGGTCATTGACCTCGCCTTCACGCACTCAGCGGGGGCCAAAGCTCACTCACATCGACTGGGAGTGAGTGTGGAGGGAAAGAGAGAAAACATTTTCACCCTCTTCCCCCCACCCCCACATAATTTCTCTCATTGGGAGGAGGGTTGTATCTCATTTGACGGGCTCAAAGGCAATTTGCGGTCAGTGTTTGTTTCCCGAGAATGTAACAATAATGTATTCACGTGTCGCGGAGCAGAATCGCTACATTCGTGTCTCGAGCAACAATACAACAAACATGACCAAGACCAGACAATGGAAACAAGGCATTCGACACATACTTTAGTAATGTCACGGAGTATTGTAGTCAAAATGTCAGTTGTAGGGGATGTAGCTCAGTGGTAGAGCGCATGCTTTGCATGTATGAGGCCCCGGGTTCAATCCCCGGCATCTCCACAGTGGTAATTGCTTTTTGACATGACCATTTTTTGTTTGGTTTCATGTTGGTAGCCTTAATCATTAAAAATCAGAGACATTTTGCGCCTACCCCACTCCCACCAAAGTAAAGCAACAATCCCTTCTGAAGTGGTTTCGTTGTGGGGGTAGCGTGAAAATTTGCTGTGAAATTGAAGCAGAGGTTATCAATCGATCCCTACATGTTGAAATCCTGGAGTAACACAGCAGGACAAGCAGCATCAGAGGAGCAGGAAAGCTGACGTTTCGGGTCGGGACCCTTCTTTAGAAAATTTGATGCTGTCTGGCCTGCTGTGTTCCTCCAGCTCCAGAGGGGGAAAGTTTAACAGAGATGTTA